TATATATATATATATATATTTTATATATATTATTTTTTAATTAATATTTATATATATTTTAACTTATAATATATGTCTTATATTATTTCTCTTTCACGATTCATATTTATTTATTTTTTAATCAAATAGAGTATATATACTCTTTAACAAATTGATATTTAATGTATTTTATTAAATTAATATAATACATTTTAATTAGAGATATTTTAATTTAAAAATGATTAGTATATATATGAAACCGTGTGAATTGGGACTGTTGTAGAGAAATAAACAATTATTGTAAAGTATTGTAAATAAAAATAGAGATGGTATATGATTTATTTTTAAAAGAATAAAGGTATGTTATGTTATCAATATATTTAATTATTTAATATTTTATATTATTTTTGTTTGTAACCATTTTTTTTTTCTTTTGTACAAAAATCTTAAGTTTTGGTTTCATTATCATTATTAAGAAAATAGTTATCTAGCTTGTACCTCTGATTTTAAAATTATATATATATATATATATATATAATTTTGATCGATGTAATTAAATTTTTCATGTGTATGAACTTTATTTATTTATTTCAAGACTTTTTAACTATTGAGACAAGAGATCTATAATGGAAGACCATATACTAGTCATTCTCTTCTTTAAAAGTATTTACAATAAAAATTGTAATATCGCACATGTCAATCATCATAAGAGTACATATATGGTCAAGGTTTGTAGACCAATTTATTTAGTCAATGCAAATATAAACTCAGTTTTAAAAGTACATATGATTATAACAAAAATTTTAGTCCAGCCTTTAAAGCTTATAGACTTTGCAAACTTTGCATAGTAATGATTTGTTTGAAATTTAGTGTATTCATACTTTTAAATTTTTAAGACATTAAAATTTTATAGTTTTTGTTAGAATGTATAAAAATTGATATGTTAAGATTTTGAAATTTTAATTAAAATATTTGTTGTTTACAAGTGTATTTGTACTATTCACATCGGTATTAGGGCCCACTCTGGCACTAAGAAAGTCGGACCACATCGGCTGAGTAAATCAAATCACTTTCCAACGGATAAGATAAACAGATAAGCCTACAATATTATATATCATAACTGACCTCACACTCACACAAGAAAAAAAATCATAATTTATACTAAAGTACGTGCATTATATATAAGAGACTTATATATTCACAAAGACTAATTTAAGCATTGAAGTCTCTTTTGCAAGTACTCACCCCATTCAAGAGTAACCAACCCGCAGAGTAGAAGAGACTCATCGATCTCGCCAGAAGATAGTCTTTACATCGATCTCAAATAAGAATAGTATTTATATTAGTATTTCTTAAAGTATTATTTTTTAGTTTAAAAAAGGGAAAGAATTTTTTTTTTTTTTTACACTTATATGACCCGCAAATTGACTCGTTTATCTGCGAGTTGAGTTCTGTGGATCGGACATAGACTAACCACTTTTACACTGTTTATTTTGATTGCTTACCAAACATATTTAATCTGTTAAAAATTCAATTTTTGTGAGCTGAACCTTAAATATGGTTCATTTCAATTTAAGATATTTACATTATTGATAATTGTATTTAAACTTGATTTATTGCTTCTCATTTATAGCTGATTGCATGTGAATCTCTTTAGAGGCTGGCATTCAGTTGTTGTTGATTGAGAAATAATTTGTTAATTTTTGTGAGGATTTGAAGGTATTAATTTAAGAAGGAGTGAAGGGAAGCAGAAAGCAGCGTGTGGGAACGTTATTGAGGTGATCAAGTCTTATAGTGGGACTTAGACTTTATTAATATGATAAAGAAGCAGAGTTTGTCTCAGGCATTGGGAAAGTTGAAGAGATTAGCACACTTGAAGTTGAGTGCAGGCTTGGTGGTGAAGCCGAGCCTGGACCTGGCCAGATCGAACACGAGGAGCTTCTCCTCCAACTGCCGCGCGCCAATCGTAATGGGAGCCTTACTTTGCAGCCCTCCGTTGATAACGGCCAAACACTTGACCCCAGGGCGCACCTGCACCATCAGATCTTCCCCGGAGAATTTAAAGGCCGGCCCATTGGGCCTGTCCATGACGAACTCCACCTTGGGGAACTTGCTTGCCTTGTTTGCGTCGCAGCAGAGCGTAAACGGCGCCACCGGCTCCACCTTCACCTCCTCCGGTATCTGGTGGGCGAACCTCTGGGTGAAGGCCTCGAAAATGAAGGATTGGAGGACCATGTAAGGGGTTGAGGTGCTTATGGTGGTCCCTCCGGCTTCGGTGTCTTCGGAGGACCATGGTTTGGTTTGTGTGGGCGGGGTCAAGAGCTGTGAGTCGATTCTGATTGAGTCCACTCTCACGTTGTACTCGCCCTGGGTGGTGATGGTGAGTGGGGTGAAAGCCATGTCGTGGAACATGCTCATGCTCGATGATGCGTCTCCGAAGATTATAGATCCCTTTGAAGCCGGGGAGCGTGAGAGGCACGTGCTGAATTGCCGTTGGAGGCCGAAGTGGGAAGCCAGTTGGTTCGGGAGGGAGATGGGCCCGTGGCCCAGGCCTGCTACTCCTTCAACGCTTCTCGGGAGGCCCTTTTGGGAGAGGAAGGCGGGGGCGCAGGAGAAGAGGAAGTGGGGGACGGTCACGAGTGGGCCGAGTTGGGCCCCCTGGATGGGGTTGATGGCGAGTACGTCTTGGCCCAGCTCGCCCAGGCCCGTTTGTTCGGTGATGGGGTTGGTGGAGACGAGGCCGCAGGCGTTTTTGTGGCAGCCGGGCCTGGAGGCTGCGGGGCAGGTTAAGCATCGGTGGGTGTTGGCCCGGGAGCATTGGGTGGAGTGGCAGAAGGGGGCTTGGTAGGTTTTGGAGTAGTAGTGGTGCTGGCAGTTGAGCCAGAGGTGGTTTCCGTTGAGGTCCAGGAGGAGGGGGAGTTGGGTTAGAGGGGTTCTTTTTTGGAGGTTGGCCCAGTGAAGCCCAGTGGGTGCGTCTTGTTGGACTGGGAGGACTAGGAGGTTGATGGGTTTTGGAGGGTTACTAGGAATACTGTGGTGGGATTGGGGCAGGGGATTGGAGTTGGATGAAAAGAAAAGGAAGGAGCAAGACAGAGTGAGGGCTAGGAAATGGAGGATAGAACCCATTTTTCTGCTCTCTGTATAGAGCAACCTTTATTTTTTAATGAATGATAATACTATGGTCCTGTTACTCAACTTCTATTTATAGGGAACAACCAGTTGATTTTTTGTTGCATTTGAATTCAAATCATATATTGTAAACATGTTAGAATTATAGCAACCATACTTGAAAGATAAAACTTTTCAAAAGAGTTGTAAAAATAAATAATTTTTATCTAACTTCAAGAGTTTTACCTTTATTTTATATAAAAAATAAAAAGTTTCTTAAAAAAAAAAATGGTATATTTATTTATTGAAATAAATGATGATTTAGTAATATTTTTTTAAAAATACTACTAAATCATCATTATTGAATCAAAAGTGAGTGTTATAGACTTGTTTTGACTCGACTAGTTTTTCAGATTAGTCAGTGTTTAACTGTTGATTCACACATTTTAGTTTTAAATGCATTGATAAGGATTTGAATCCTTATCGATCGTCTAAATACAATAAATCAATTCTAAATATAATCAGCTATCTCTATTTTCTAAATATATGTTGTGATTATGCAGTACAAGAAGTCATACACCATAAACTTATTATATTTATAGTAAAAACTGTAGAAATGGTGAAACGGTGCAGTAATTGATAATGCATCGGTAGGAAGATTCTCTTTTGTTTGGCCGTGTTGGTGATAATGGCAGTTCATTAGTTTGGACGTGTTCGAGGCTTGTGAATTTGCAGAAACAACGATAGGATAAACAAAAAGGTAACAGTGATATATATAAGAAAAACAAAGAGTGTTGGAGTATGAGGGGTACTTGGCAGCTGAGAATATAATGCTTAGTTGCATGGCGTGCATGCACATTAATTTCACCTGTTTGTAGTTCTGCAAAGGAGACGTGTGGAATTCATATATACGTGCAAAGCTGTTAGTATTGGATTTTGCCTCGGTAGCCCTGTACAACATTAATTTCTAAACATGATACTGTTTGTGCAAATTTTGATGTATTTCTGTCTCATGTTATAACGCACCATATTCAAATCATCCTTCAATTCATATTTCATTTTTTTTCTCCAACTTAACTATAGCTGTCATTCATTTGAACCCACATAGTACATGGTATTCAATAAATACTTTAAATACTTTATTAATTCTTTCTTACGAATTGAGAACTTCGAGTATATGTCAAATGTCTAGGATCACGAGTTATTTGTGGGTAGGGACTATATTCTAGACTTCTTTTGAATCATAAAATCTTTTTTTTTTTCTTCTGTCTCTGAACTCTTTGTTTCTGCACCTTGGACTAGAATTCCTAAGGTTTGCATAATAACTTATTTTATTTTATTTTTCTCACGGTTTGTTTTACATTTTTCATAATGAGCTTTTATTTATTTATTTTACAATATTAGAATTAAGATTTAAGAAACAAGCTGAATCAGCTAGAAGAAAACTAAACACAAGGTTCTACAAATGCAACATGATAATTGCAATTGATTGATAATTAATTGATCCTTGCAATCAAGACACACATCCTGTGTTTTTCATTAGTCTTTTTCTTCTTTATTTTTGTCCAACTGTATATTAAAGTAGTAAACAATACAGATAATAAAATAAAATAAAAAATCTTCATATACTTTTCATCAAATTTGTATGTGATTTTGTATAAAATTTTGTAATAAATATTTATCATAAAATATTTATAATTAAAAATATATGTATATATTATATTTTAAATAAAATTTAATAATAATTAAAAATACAAATATTTTAATCTAAATATTATCTTTAAAAAATTAAATAGAATTTAGAACATTTATATATATTTGTTAAAAGTGAGTTTATCTAAACTTATTCCGTTCAATAATTCATATTCTATATGAAATTAATTATAACAATTTTGTTGGATTTAAAATTTTTAATGCATAAGTCAAATATGCAAATTTTTAAAAAAATATAAAAATTATTTGCTACTTCATTTTATTAATTCAAATTGACGGATAATCATAAAATCATTTTATATGTTGATTTGAATTAATGAAATAAAGTATCAAATGGTTTTCAAGTTTTTTTAAAAATTGTAGATTTGATCTAAGCATTAACAACTTTGAATTTAGCGGTTGGATCGTTAAAATTTGATGTAGAACATGAGTTATTAAACGGTGGAGTAATTGGATCCCTTCTTATTATTTATTATAAGTTTTTTTTATAAGTTTAATATAACATTTTTAAAAGTTAGGCCAGATTTATTAGTCTATTTTATATTAAATTTAATTTTAAATAAGTTAATAAATCTATTTTTAAATACATGCGAGTTTTTTTTTTAATTTACATCATAAAAAATAATTTACTACAATATTATTAAATTTATTTATTTTCTATTTATTGACTTCATATGACAATGAAATGTAAAACATAAAAGTATAATGAAAATGTCAAAAATATAAGTAATTTTATTTTTTGTATTAAAATTTTTTTTGGCTTATCAAGTTCAACTGATCTTTTTATAAGTATAAGTTTAACTTTTTTAAATAAATAAATTTAATCTTTTTATCAATTAGGTCAACTCAAATTTGTCCATAAAATTTTTATTTAAAATCTTTTATTCTTATTTCTAGCCTCAACAATAATATATTATTTATGTAAAATATTGTATAAAAAATTAAGAATATTATTTGGATACTTGTTTATAAATATTTTTAAAAAAAATTATGCATGTATTTATTAGACAGGTATTTTTTTTATAATTAATTGGTGGTCCAGCAGCTGCTGTTCAATTATGTCTTCATCCTTAGTTGGAGATAAGAAACTAAGTAATGATTAAGTTCTAAAGTATAAACTATTAAGTATGGAGTTATAGAGTTGTCTTATATCTGTCACTTGTATTAATTTTAACTTATTTTCTATTCATTTCTCTTCATTTATTAGAATTACTCATAAATTTCATATATATTTAATAGAGTTACGAAACAGAAAGATTAATTAGTAATGATCTTTCTAATGGCCTGTCTACTTCCAATCATTGTTGACCATATTAAACTTAGTTATGTCTATCTAATTAGAGCAAATTTTTACGAATACAAAACACATAATTAATCAGTTATAACTTATAAGATATCTTGTATCTGTTGAAGTAAGAAACATAATCAATAATTAAGTTGGGCACCATATACTCAACCAAATTTGAGAGAGATGATGATCTCTCAAACTTATGCAGGAAATTAAATAATGATGTGCAAGTTCTGGAGCCTGTCATTGGCAAAAGGTTCGGTTGGGTTCTGCAATTGTCGCATAACACATTCTGCATGGACCACATTTTCTTCACGAGACTCATGCAAGCAGAATCAACCGACAACGTTAAGCAATTCATTGTAATCAAAGACTCGAATAAGTCAAAATTAATTTTCAATTTTTTTCAAAATAAAGAACGTACCTTGCACATCACTGCTCTTACACATTTGTTTTCTTCCTACAGCACCATATTCATCCACCTCAATTTCGGATAAACTGGGACAAGAGAAAGAGAAAAAAGAATGAACACAAAGAATAAAGGATGAGAAATGATGATGCGGTGAAAAAGGATGAGAAATAAGAATATATTTAAAATTATATATATACCATGATATAATTTTTCTTTATATTATTTCTACAAATTTTATTTATAACAATTAATAAAGGATAATTGTTTTGATAACTATATATTTTTGTAACTATTTTATCTTTTAATTATTAATACATAATATATATATATATATATATATAATATATTTT